AAGCCAAGAAACCAAGAAGCCAAAAAACAGTGACACAAACTCTTCCTTCTAGAAAGGCTCTTCAAACTTGAGGGCAGGGAAAGCAGGCCGGACCGGCGTCCGCCAACTTTTGGCAGGCGTGCAGGGCCTCTGTCAGAGGCGCATCCTCCAGCTCCTGCTGGGCAAAAATGAGACCCTGGAAGTCTTGCAAATAGCCATGAAAAATGGATCCTGACAGAGCTTCAGAGCCTTTGAGAAGATCACCTTGGCGGGCAAGGATAGGAAATCATCTGAATTGGAGTCTTCTGGCCCTTTCAGCCCGCCTTGCGGATCTCTGGCTGATCTGCCAACATCTTCAGGGCGACCTGCGCCTCCAGCACCGAAGCCTCGGCCTCAGGGGTCGTTTTGCAAGCGTGGAACCGAAGAGCAGTGGGAACAGGCCTTGCCCATCTGCGCCAACACGTCTGCCAGCACGCTGTGGCCCTGAAAGCAATTCCGAAGCTTGCTGGATATTTCTTGCGGTTGCAATGCCATGCGTCCATGGCCTGGCCCGAGTCCTTGCTCTCCAAAGCTCTTCTTGCACAAACCTCTGCAACGCTCCGCAAGACTTGGCAGGTGAGCCGTCTATCTTTGAACCCAGCCTCCGCCAGACACATTTGCCTCTCCTTGCGCTGCAACTCCATGGCCACCTCGGTGCCGCGCTGCTGCGGGTGTTGGCAGAGTCGGGCGCCANNCCAGGAAGGGTAGAGTCGGGAATCAAGGAGGAGAGCCGGGAAACAAGAGGGGCGGGAGTCGGGAGTCGGGAAACATGGACCAAGGAAACATGTGATCTTACATGACGCACTCACCAAATGGGATGAAGGGTCTGGGGTGCCCTTAGATGGGAATCCTTCTTTCGAGGCTGGTATACAAGCCCGAACTGTTTCCGGAAATGTCGGGTAGGTACTCAAGACTCCAAACCCTGCACCTGCGTTGTTGCTCCTCAGTTTGGGTTACCCACTCTTCCTCCTACAATCTTACTTGACTTACCTTTGGTTAGGTAAGAATGACAGAATGGATCCTTATAGTAATCCTCGTATAACCCCTTATCGTTTTTCCCATTCTATTTTCCAGTCCTTCATTCCCAGCTAACCAAAGGTAAGTTGAAGGTCTATCATGGCTTTGGGGCAAATTCATCTTAATCTTCCCAAAACCCTTATCAAATAGTGGAAGAACACATTTAATTTGTGGAAGGCTTTAACTATTGGAGAAATCCGAAGCCCTAGACCTTAATCCTTGAAGAATTCTATCCCAAAATAGAACAGCATTTCTCTTGTACGGATCCCTTCTGCAAGGCCTTAACTCTTGGAAAATCTTACCCCCGGATGAACCCACATCCCTGGACCGGAAAGCAGACTAGGCCCCGCCCCTCCCCCACCAAACCGATGGTAGTTTCTCATGTGGTGATGTTTGTTGTCCTGCCCGCCATTGTTTCTACATCTGATTAGACATTGAGTGGCTGATGTGTTCCAGTTTCAGGGATGTGGTCTGTGTCCAAAAACCATGTAAATTTACATGACGTTTTGCATGATTCTTGTTTTCATCTGAGATTATCCCCCCCCCCCGCCACCCACTCCAGCCCACCCCACCACACCAAAGCGATGTTACGATGTTATTTTCGCATGTGGCGAGTTTAGCCATCTCACCTCGAGTAA